CTTTCCGCGGAACTCGTCGAACGATTAAATTCCAGCATTCAAACAAATGGACTAGGAATCAATCGTCAATAAAGATTTCACTATATAGAGTGTCCCATTAATAATTAGAAAGCAGATTAAAAAATATAATTTAATATTAAACTTTAAAATTACATGAATTGTGTATAAAAAGATGTTTAAAAATTTTATTAATAAATTATAAGACAATAATTATCGAAAGTAGGATAATAATAATAATAATAATAATAAATTAAAATAAAATTCATATTATTATATTAAATATATTTTATATTGTGAGGTAAATAAATAAATAATGTGAAAATTTAGGTCAACTTTATGAAATGATGAGATTTTCCTTGCAAGGAACGTCGTTTTCTCGTGAGGATTACGAGAGGACGTGAGGTCGAGTGGGCAGGATTCCCCGGGAATTAGGGTAATAAGCAGCGACGAGAACCTGAAGGAAATGCGATGAGAACCTGTGATACATTAATCTCAATTTTAATCAGCGTCCTAATCGCGACTGTATGTAAATTAATTTCGGGAAAACTAGGGCTTTCTGGGAATGCGAAGAGGAGATCTAGGAATACGTGGATAGATTCTAGAACGAGCTCTTGAAGTACTTTCTTGATTTGAACAATATAATAAAGATGAAACAGAAAAACATATAAAAGAAATGAATAAGAAAGAGAGGTATAAGATATTCCAAGAAAAAATTATACAGAAAAAAAAAAGAGGAAAGATTAATTAATCAGAAAAGGAAAAAGGGGATGATTATTCTTAGGAATTAAGTTTGTTGATTACTTGTGATTACTTAACATTAGAACTCTTTCAGAGATGGCAAGGGGGAGGAGAGGAAACATTATCTAGGAACATAAAGGAAAGAAACGAAATAAGGGTAATCGTTGCGCGAATTAATATCTTCGTGTGACATTTAAATCCTACGGAGGGAATTAGCGAATTCGCGGATGGAGGTGGGATGCAATCCCAGATAATCCTCGCTTAGAGTCACGGAAGACCCAGCGTCCAATTTTAATATTTTCCAATCGGAATTAATTCGCGCGAATTTCTTCCCTTCTTTGTCGTGGATTAATTTGTGCGTAATAATCGGCTAATTACCGGGATATTAGTTTCGCGTCTAATTATGTATCGATAATCACTCTCGCGTTATTGCCATTGTATCGTCTAATTTCTTGCGTTTATTTTATATTAGCCAACACTCTAATTTATTTATCTTCTTAAAATACATTACTCACATAGTTTATTTATATAAAACATTTCGAATCCTTTTTTAAAGCACGAGTTCTGACAATTTTTATTATTATTACAATCATTTATAATCTTTTATGTCGAGAGTTATATAGATTATCAGATCGCACAACTCAACAGAAATTAATGTTTGATCGAAATTGATAATCAATAAATAATAAATAATAAATAAATAATAAAATAGGTTGTACAACTAAGTCTGTTGGGAGAAAAGAGAATCGATGCTAATGTTGCTCGAATAATCGGTATTTCTTATCCTGTTATGTCATGAAGTTTATTCATGTCGATGCAAATGTAGCAGTAATGACCTTTTTATGGAATGCACGCGAGCGAGTTTTATGTAATGCCGCGGGACGGTTGATAAAAATTGCGTGAGAAAATCGCGCGGCATCTTGCGAAAAATTAATGGCTTTTGGCGCGGCAATGTTACGTGAAAATCTGCGCGCGTTCATAATTAGACGACGTTTTTGAAAATTAGGCCAGCAAATATAATCGAGAAAATATTATCGGGAAGACGCATCGAGAGTGCAGTAATGAGCGCCGCGTTTCTCATTAACGTTTTATCAACAATATTTTAAAATTTTACTAAAATTGTATTTATATCGCGAAATAAATTAACATAGAAATAATTAAGGGTTTAATTAAACGTGATAATTGAACAATAATTTTCACGCAAGACTTTCTATTATTTTCGATCTTAAGTAAATTACTAATCTATTATTATATTATTATTATCAGTAAATTATTATAGCAGTTAATTTAATTTTAAAGTAAATCACTCTAAAATTCACAATTAAAAATATACATTCAAGCTTTTTAAATACAAGCGGAGAGAGGGTTTTATATTTCTCCGACGAGGTAAGAATTTCGAGAGATTTTGAAATTTTACTCGAGGAAAGTTTTTATTTCAATTCATATTTAAAAGAGAGGCTCGCGTCCTCGTCCTCGGGAGTTTAACATCCACTAAAGTTGGGTCCTTACTGCGTTTTGAGAATGACGGCTGAGAAATCTGCAAAGTAGGATTTAGTAACTTTCCCCGAGAGACTTCCGGGCGCCGGGGTTTGTTACATTTATTTCGCCGCCGCTGCATCTCGTCTACCATAAATAATGCGCTTTAATATGTCGTATTTTAACGCGGATACGCTCGTTAATTAAAATGAGTTTATCGTGCGCGAGCGTCGGAAAAACATTTTCCGTTCTTCTCTCGCTCCGTTCTCTTCTTCCTTCACTTCCGTTCTCCTCTCTCTTTTCCCTTCTTTTCGCTCCGTATACCGATCCTCCCATCTTCTTTTATTCCTTCCCCTAAGTTTGCTTCATTTTCTTACGATAGATTAACGAGTACGGAGGCAGTTATGTCACTGTCCAATGTTAAATGCGATGCTAAATTATTACATTTTCTCTGCTGCAGCTACAGCTGCAAGCATCAGTTTACGCCTTTTACGGCATAATGTTTGATTTTGAAGGGGAAAAGAATCGCCGTGATTTATGTCTCAAGGCTTTTAATATTTAATTCGATATCCACTCAATTTCGGAGTTACTTTGAGAGAAAAGCTTTAATTTAAATTTCCCGAGACCTTTGACCGTGTTAAAAAGGCCGGCGAATCCAATTTATCCGCTTAGCTGTCGATTTTTATGGTAAGGGAAACGAGACACTTTTAACAATCGTTCGTTGATTTAATATAACAAAAATCGATTTAATCAAACTGCCGTTACCCTAGAGATTATGATTGCGCTATATATCGAACTCTGTACATGTCACGTATGTATACATATGTCTGATGCGTTGCGGTCTGTGAAATGTGTTTCGCAGGCCAGGTGCATCGGGATACACCGAGATGCGTGCAACCACAAAACGCAAAACGTCATATTTGCATATCTCCCTCTTCCTCTCTCTCTCCTTCTCCCTCTCTCCCTTTCTCTCTCCCTCTCTCCCTCCCTCCCTCCCTCCCTCCCTCCCTCTCCCTCTCTCTCTCTCTCTCTCGTGTATCAAAATTCCGAGATAAAGATCGGCTTTAGATATTCTTTTCGAGAGATTGCTTTGACTCTTATCGGAGCACTAGTGTCTATCGAGAATTTAATTAACGTCAAATCGAACACGTTCGGGCTCTTGTTCTTTGTGCTATTGCGGCTTCCACGTGCTCGACTTGTCTTCTTCACTGTTTGCGAAACACTTGACGCGTTTCTCTGTTATTCGACCGAAATGGACCGCGTGAGTTGGACGTTTATTGAGGCGTGATATCAATTCTCTTCTTCTTCGGTCTTTGATATCTGCGAGAAATTTCATTCGATTTTTCTTTATATTACCAATTACATTTTTTCTTGAATTTTTGATGATATATTACTTTATCCATCTACATAAAGAGCACTCTATTATGTAATCTTATAACAATTAACTTAATTTCTCGCTGTCGATCCACTATTTCTTCATTATCGATTCTTACCGGAAGTAAGTAGGAGCTTCGAGTGCCGTTTAAGGGTTAATGGGGAATTCAGCCCACAGGGGCTTGCGACGATTAGTCTTTCCCTTCGTCGAGAGACGCAGACTAATTGTGCAGATTGCCAATTTCGTAGTAGATCTTGCTTCAAGTAAGTGCTCGCTGGAGAAATGGCCATGGCGAAATAAAATATAACGTATGAATAAAATCGGAAGGTTTTGTGCCTTATTACATTTTGTGTCTAACAAATACAAGGTGAATCCTAAATATCATACTTTTTTCGATCTTGAATTCAGAGATTATTTATTTATTTTTCAATTTTATATTTTCTCTGATTTATGTACGATGGTTTTTTGCATCTCATTTTTATTTTGCATTATCTTATGTTGAATCAAACTGGATTTTTATTTTTCTCATAACTTTATATTTATCGAATTTTGTTTCAAGTTTGTGTGTCACTCCAATTAGAATTTTTGATCTTAATAATTAAGTTTCTGGAGTTTTATCTTTAGAACGAATGCATCAGGCAGATGCAATCACGAGTCTTACCGAAGGGCGTAGCTTGTGCTGCGCGTTAATGAGTGAGTATAATTAATGTCGTTTCGGCTGTAGACAACATCAGATAGAGGCGGTCTCGTTGAGTTTCCGAACTCCAGATATCGCGATTTGGCGAGGTCAATTAATCTCGATCGATTTCGATTGGGCTCGCTTCCAGAGATAACAATATTTCATATATTCACATCGTATTAACAAATTCAACATCTATAATTTAATATAAATAATGACTAAGAGATTCTCAAAGTCTGCAGAGAGATTTAATTCATTTGACAAAAAATCATTCTTCATCTTTACGAGATTATCACTTGTATTAAAAATATTTTAATTCAAAATTATTAATCCAAATTAAAAAATGAAGAGGAGCAAATTAAAAAAATATATATTTAAATATTTTTACACGCTCGAAATTCCCTCATATTTATGTTAAAAATTCTTCGTAGGATGGAATTATTCGATAATATTATTAAATCGTCAATTTAATTTAAAAACGATCATTGAAATCGTGGCGTTGGGTCGCCTGTCGGTTAACTCTTTTCCAATTGACCCGGTGAAATTCAGCCGTCTCGTTGGCGCACGGCTTTAAACGGGTTCCACGTCGGGGTCAACATCGGGACAGGCCGCGAACAACGATGGAAAACTAAATAATTAGCGCGACGACGGTGAACGGTCGGTCGATCGGACGATTAACGCGGCGGCGACGAACACAATTGATTTTCTGATTGGGCGGTCGGTCAGGGGGGTCCGATGAGAGGGGCCTCCGTCGCTACTGTGGTGTTGGTGTATCCGTCATCCGTCCCCGTATTCACTGGTTCATCACTTGTGTCGGTTCGATACGAATGGCGAACCGCGTGTCTCGCGCTTGCGCCAATTCGACAGTGAAATCGGGTTTTTATTTTTACGAATAACAGAAGTTATTAAGATCGCCCGCGAAAACGCGGATATCGCATCTCCGTCGCATGATTGCCCTCACGACATTCAATCGCGAAGCTATACTTAGGATTGCATCCGGCTTGCGGTCAAATTCCGTGCAATCGTGTGCGTATGTATGTCATAATTGAAATCAGAATCTGCAATTGCGATAAAAAATTCCATAGAAACAAAATAATATAATATATAAAATTGTACTCTAGAATATAATTTCCATCTAGAAATAGAATTTCTGGAATTTTAATCTTTCGTCGCTCAATAAAATAGGAAATGTGTTAAAAAGACACTTTAGTCACGTTGAAATAATTGAAGGATAGTAAGAAGAAGCTTGTCTCTTTAATTATTGCGCGGCGAGTTTACATGCCAGGAACAATAAAGGGATTAGGGGTCTTTCTCCTTTTTGGGATATTTTTCATCTTCGTATACACCGATAAATATTATAACGTTGATTAACGAGTGCTTCTCCATCACTTTTTACCGTCAAATTCGCGAACTTTTTTTTTCTTATTTCCCGATAATTTCATCGGAAATATTTCTTGATCTCTTGATACATTATTTGCACGTGAGCACCATTTCTTTCATTTGTGATAACAGTTTATATATGTATATTTATGCGCGCATCTATACATATACACACACACAAACGCACACACACACACACACACACACACACACACATATACATTCTACGCTTTTAATAGTAATTATAATTACATGCACGCTGTTCCGTTTTTTATAAACTCTTCGATATTCCGTGCGAGATTTAATTAGGGAAACTCAATCGAGAATTTAATTAGTCGGCGATAGTTTATCGAGTGATTTTGCGGTTACAGAAGCGCGCTTAGAGGTACTAGGTTACAGTTTCCTTATTAGGCTACTAGTCAGATTGTTCGCTCGCGTTTCGAGTTCTCGCGCGATTAGGCTATCAGATATTCAGATTACTCTAAATGCACATAAAATGTTCGAAAAATATTATAGTACGTTTATAAAGAAAATTTCTAATAAAATGGATTATTGGAAAGAGTTTAAGCAAAAAGAGAACCGAGGTTTATCAAAATTAAATATTAAAAATCGTTATCGAACACAGGCGAAGAAGACACAACTTAATATTAAAAATTTCAAATTATTAAAATAGAAGCTGTTAAATATGAATTTATTCGCGTGCAATATTTTTTAATATTCTAATTTGTACTAAAAATATAAACTTAATAAAAAAAAACTGAATATTTTATCGTAATATAAGATATGTTTTAAGATACGAATTATTTTTAAATATATAATTATTAAAAATAGGCATCATCATATTACACATTATTGCATATTGATATGTAATCGATATCAGATATGAATAGGAGCCGCTAGGAAGATTTAAAAAAATATTCTTAGCTCGTCGAAAAAATATTATTGAATACGAAACGTTAACAGGAGTCGCTAATAGGAAGATTCGCGATAGAGACCTTTTAATTCCTCAACAATGTCGTCGACAGTGTGTCCGATGGTTCGAGCTATTCGGACGCTCGTTCCAGAACGAGCTAATCGCGCGAGTAGAATAGCACCATTCGAGTTCAGTTTCATTTCCACCGGCTGTCCTTTGTCGGATCACGGACGATTCGCGGATCGATCTCATCGATTTCCGGTTCCTTTATACCCTGCTGACGGTGATCCCCGGTCTCCCGGGGCCTAGGGCCTACCTGGCCGGTCGCCATGCTTGATTGCGATACCTGCACAGCAGCACCTTCTTGAAGGCCTGGCGGAAGACCTTGTTGAAGATGGTGTAGAAGATCGGATTGACCATGGAGCTGGCGTAGCCGAGCCAGGTAACCAGGTCGAAGATCTTGCGGTCGATCCGGCGCTCGCAGTCGGGACATACGGCCGGCACCAGGTTCAGCACGAAGAACGGCGCCCACAGAATCACGAAAGTGAAGAACACCACACCCAACACCTTGGTCGCCTTCTGCTCCAGTCGGATGATCCTGCCGTGGCGAGAGCTGTTGCGCGACACGACGCTGCTGTTGCGCGAATGATGGCTACGCACATGGCCGCCCGTGTACCTGAGCAGGTTCGGCGACGACGGATTGTTCTGCTTCAGGGTGAGGCTCGTCGTCCCCGTCGCGCCATTGTGCGCCCGCATCGTTGCCGCGCGTCGCAGCGGCGTCGCTCTCGCGGTAGTGGACAGTAGAGTCTTGGTATTGCCTGCAAGGATTCGAAAGGCTCGATTTAAGAAGATGAAAAATCTGTGGGGAAAGAAAGAATTGCTGGGAACTGGAAATTTTTGGAAAGATTTCGGACGTGCGAAAAATTGAAATTTAAAGATTTAGGCGAAAGCCGTGAAAATTTAAGAGATTTAAATGCTAGGTATTGAAAATTTTAGGTACTGGAAATTATAAATTCACAGACGAAGGGTTCTGGAATCCAAGGAACTTACGATCTAAAAATTTAATACGAGAAAGAGCATATGTTTACCATTTCTTGGATTTAAACTGAATAATTCAAGATTTGTTAAGTTTCTAAGAAACTTAATTTGAGATTTTAACAATTTAAAAATTTTGATATTTAAGTATGTTTGGGCAGTTTTCTCAAACTTTTAATTAATTTCAAGTTTTAGTTTAAAAGAGAGAGAGAAAGAGAGACTTTTATAAATACTTCAAATATTTAATAAAAAAACAAATTTAATGAGACAGATTAAAATTTAATAAGAAAGTTTAATTTAATCATAAGATTTAAAGCAACATAATATAATAACTAATTAAAAGCATTTAATAATGTAGAGATAAATATCAACAATATTATTTAAAGAAATTTTTATACAATTTTAATCTAATCAGAAATTTTAGTTATATGAGATGAAATAAGCATTGAGTTTTGTTAATAACTTGTTAATTTAACGATCGAACAAAAAATTTAGGAATCCTAAATTTTTAAATATTAGATACGAAAGTTTAAAGAATTCAATAATTTTCAAACGAAAAATCTCAAAGATATTCTCTCTAATCTCCGTTAAAAACCTTTAATATCCGCGAATTCGCCAATTTTTAGAGTTTTAAATCGTCTGCGATCAGTCGTGCGAAAATCCCGGGCGATCGTCGAAAGGCAACGATCGGAAGCTTTCCGAATGACCATGAATCACGTTCTCCTCGAACGGATCTCTCCATTTTCTCCGGGTCGTAAAAAGAGGGTGATCGAAACGAGAGATCGGGGAAGTTCGGGCAACCTTCCCGTTTGCACCCTTCTCTTCTCGACCTAACCGTTCTCTCGAGCTCGCTCTAGTTCTATCATCTCTCTTTCTCTCTCTCTTTTTCTTTCTTTCTCCCTTGTTTCCGCAATTTTTAGCGGAACGTTAGCGGCACGCGATGACTAGGAGTGGAGTTTCCCGGAGGCAATTATCGAGGAGCTAATCGAAAGCTCGCGTTGTTGTTTACGTCATTGCCATCGCTTATCGGCACGTACCCAGGCTAGAGCCTCGCCTTTCGCCTCGCCACGTGACCACGGAATTCGCGAGAGTCAGTTGCTCGTAATTCTTGACACCCTCCGTAGATCTTGCGTTGTTGTTTCTACCTAGCAGACCCATCTCCGGATTCTTATTGCCGATAGGCCTCGCGGTATCGCTCAGTAGACCCGTTTCCAGACCCTTGTTGTTGATCGGCTTGACTGCGGTGTCGCTGGTCAGAACCATCTCTAGGCTCTTGTTTCCGATAGGCTTCATCGTATCGCTGGAGACGATGACGATCTCGCCCGAGGGGGGCGGTCTCATGGACGATTCCCCGAAATAGGGGCACGTACAGGGTGGCGGTAGCGTTATCGGTTCGTCCGGTGTTTTGTTGTGACACTTCCTGCGCATCGTCGAGTCGTCCTCGTTCTTGCGACAGGACGATTCTTCGTGAAAGCTGAAAGACCTCTTTCTGGGTGTCTTCGGCGAGCCCATGGCCTGGATCGTTCTCTGCAGATGGGCTTCGTTGTAAGTCGATGCTCGTCTCCGGTGTTTCCAAGGACTCGCGAAGTCCTCCTGCGCCGACAGGCTTGTCCTCGAGCAGGATATGCTGCTCTCTGTACTTTCCACGCTCCTGGAAACAGATAATAATAAATTTTTTAAATATATTAATATATAGTGATTATTATTAGCACTGTAATTTTAATATAATTTTATTATATGAAGTGTTATTAAAATATTAGTATCAAGATTATTAATAATGTTAAATGTTGAATTAGTTATTATATAATAATTATATCATAATATTTGTAATTATTATTTAGAACGTTAAATAATAATTTATTTGTTGGATAATAGATAGAATAACATTGGTTGCAGGAATAATAAACAGCGTAAGCTTATAATAACAGATGCGGTTATCTTGAAATATAATTATTTCAATATACCATAATTAATATATAATAGTATACAATACACATACACAATATTCCGTAAAGTGTACGAAAAATACTTTATACTCGTTATATAAATTTATCTAAATTAAATGTAGAAATTTGAGAGTTTAATTAACTTAAATTTTCCTTTTTTTCGAAAAGTTATTTATTCACAAACTATTATTGTTTTATATTTGATAGTCTTTTTATTTTTTGCTACGAGATCGGCGAACCAAAGAAAAAAATATTTGGAAAGTTTTACGCGTGACAAAATTTCCGTTATCAATTGTAATTGACTTCGAAATAATTTATATGCAGTACGATAAACAAAGTACGAATTGAGAGATTAATGCTCAAATCCCGTCATGTTCTCTTTCTTTTTCCCCCATTGTGAATAATTTCTTTGCCGTTATAAATCAAACCAAATAGGAAAAGAGAATATCTGAAAAGCTTCGAAGTCGAAAATAATCCCTCTACATACGGTAAATTGAAACAACCTGAACGTTTCAACGAGAGATTAATTCTACGAGTCCTTTATTACTTGGCGTGGGATAATCCTCTTATTGCTCGAACTTGTCGTTTAAAATCCATCGAGGACAGAAAATATTTGGATATTTCTCTCTCGTGAACCGACTTCAAAGGGAATCTACAAATAATATCGCCGTCACAAAACATACTTGGATCCATACTTGTATTGTTCGATACGAACGCAGGTCCTTTTATCATTCGATACGACCGACGCATGCTATTGAAGAGAAAGAGAGAGAAAGAAAGACGAAGAGAAAAGGGATGGAGAATGAAAAAAAGAAGAAAAAAGCGATTGCGTTCCATTTTTCAGCGGGGTGAATAATTGATCGCGAGATTGGACGAGTTAGTTGTGCGCGAGGCTTGCGAAAAAAAAAAAAAAAAAAAAAAAAAAGATCGCTGCCGTCGCTGCAAATTACAGACAAGTTGCGAGATGTGTGTCCTGCATTCGCGACACTTTTGACGGCCGCGAGATTCGTTGCATCACCCGTTATCGGCCTGTTATCGGTCTTATCCGGGCCATACATCCGCTATTTTCTCGCGTTGGACACTCAATTCGCGAATAAACCCGTGACTCAAATTGCGATACGAACGAATGTCAGGCAATAAAACGAGATCTCATATTGAGAAGGCAGTACAAATTGAAAGTGATAAGCGGAATAATATAAAGTACGAATTTTAGAACAAATATTACGGTAATAACATTTAAAAAAATCAAAGTACAATAGATAAGATAAAAATGTGAAGATTTTATAAGGAGATTAGGATAACAAGAGATTGAAACACAATGCAATAAAGATGCAGTTTTAAGTAAAAACAAATTTAGTATAATGATATAAAATTACGGACGTTTCAAATAAATTTAAGCTAAGTTGAAAATTACGATTTCTGAGAGATTTGCAAGATCGATCTTTGAAAATTGAAATAATTGAGTAGTTTTGCTCCTCTATTCTTTCGGCTTTTCGTAGCGTTATCGATTGCTGAAGATTGACAATTTTATCAGCGCTTCGGAGACGCGTCGACGGGGTTTTCGGGGATAATTGAGGATGCTCTTTCGGAAGGAAGAGAAACGGCCTGATTGTCCTCGGAGTGGATTACGGCTGCGGTCTTGACGGTAAATTGAGAAAAATATTGACTGAGATAAACTGAGGGAAGTCGAGAAGGAAGGAGGAGATCTGGTCTGATCGCGAAAAGGAAACAGATGCATCTCGGCAAGTGCATCGCGAATAGACAATTTGATTTGATTTATTGCTGTCACGATATTGTAAATACTGACTCATAAAGAATCTTCATTGGGAAGAAACATGTTTGTTAAATCTTTAAATCTTTTTATTTTACAAATAAATATTTTACAATAAATTCTCATTAAAGATTATATTAATTTATTTCAATTGATATATATTAATTCAGATTAAAATTTACTTTCTATTATCTGGAACTATTACTTATCTCTTTTTTAAATTGATTTTCCGTTAAGTTTTTGACAGAAAATTTCAAGTTTTATTAGAAAGATATTAATAAAAATTGGAAAGAATTAGGATTAGAAAGATTAAGAACTAGAAAAAGAAATAAAAATGTAACCAAGATTTTGATTTATTATGATTTTTTTTGCTAAGGAAAAATTAATTCGAATCTGTTTGAATAAAGCTCGTGAGAAAGAAGGAGAGATTATAAATTTAATATAATCTAATTTATAATTGTACACTATTGTAAGAGAAAGGTATAAAGAGAGGGAGGGAAAGAAACATTCTGAGAAGTCTTGGGACACTTCTCGTTTATTTGATTCGAGAAATCGACAGGAAGCGACTTGACACCGCAAAAGGCGAAGTTCTTTGTGCGCAATAGAGAGAGGTAATCTTCGTTTGATGCGTTCAGGGGCGCACGATTCTAAGTGCATTCCTTTATTAGAGGTTTATGTGGGAGGGGATGGACGGCAAGAGTAGTTTACTTAAGTACACGACCACGACTGAGCGAGCGAAACTCACCCCTTTGCCCTCCCCTTTCGCTCGCCCTTTTCGTTCTCCTCTACTGAGGGGTTGGTCCTGGTTTTGCACTTTGAATGTCGGCAGCTAAGTGCAATCCACTCTGATGCCACCGTGTATAAATGGGTTTTCTCGTCGTCGTTTCGTCGCGGTGACCTTTCTGATGCATCCGCTTTTTGTGTTTTCGTTAGTGAGTCCCGCGGGGACAAAGGAAAATTTTCGAGAGATTTGATCATCGTTGAGAGTTTGAAAAATTGCGAGATACGGAAAAAATCGTGCGTAATTTTTACTCGCGGTGTAAAAAAACAATTTTAGTTTCGTCGTTTTGTTGAATAGATTGATAACATCACAGTTTATAAAAAAATCATCGCGAAATTAAATTCTTTTATATAGAAATTATTTGACTCGATGTAAAATTAAATTTCTCAGCATTTGGGGAAAAGATTTCGCTATTTGAGGATTTTCGCGATCTAGGATTTATTTCAATCTTTCCCGGATAAAGCTTGAATTTATCATTAAGGCCAAAGAGGTTTCGTTCTTTTTCCAGATATCGTTACTAATACGTCCATTAACGATGGAGAGTAATGAAGGAAACTGCGCCTTCTCAAAGATTGCTATTTAATGATTGCGCCAATTTACTTTGAAAGACTTTCACCTCTCTCGACAGTATCCGATCGCATGCGATACGTGTTTCCGCTTGTCGCGAAATTTTTCCAGCCGCCTGCATTTCTCTTCTCGCATCTCGTTTTCCGAATCGCGTTTCTTCCGAGGATTTTCACCGTCTAGAACCGCATTCCTTAAAATCCTCGCATTTTACCAATCCTTAGAGAGATTCTAGGATCTTTCCCGAAAATATTTCTAGGATTCCAAGATGTATTCTGGGATTCTCGGATTTTATTTTTTCAAGAGTATATTCTCCGAGTATCGTTTCCGATCTTTTGGAAGATCCGGATTTTTTAAACGTGCCTCTTAAAGGATATGCGGAATCACAGAGAACGTGAAAAATCGAAGATGCAAGACCGCGGATCGGTGTATTTTATGATTGAAACGTATTTTATTATCGCAGAACGGTGGAGTGCTTTAATATTCTCGCCGTACTTTGACGCTCTCGTTTCACTTTCAGCTTATGTATTCTCGTCGATCGACTCAGATGCTGGAAGCTCTAAACGACGTCAAATATGATTCCTCTTTCCC